CTTTTGCTGAGGAACTTCTTCCTAAGATCTAGTCTTAACTTACTCTCCTCCAGTTTAAAACAATTTCTCCTTGTCCTGTCACTGGACACTCTTGTGACAAGTCCCTCTCCAGCCTTCCTGTAGGTTCCCTTCAGGTATTGGAGGCAGTTCTAAGGTCCCCCTGGAGTCTTCTCTTCTCCAGGCTGAACAATCCCAGTGCCCTCAGCCTGTCCTCACAGCAGAGATGCTCCTGCCCCTGGATCAACTTTGTGGCCTCCTCTGGACTTGTCCCAACAGATCTATGTCCCTTTTGTGGTGGGAACACCAGAACTGGACACAGTATTTGAGGTGGGGTCTCACAAGCGCAGAGTAATGGGGGAGAATCACCTCTTGTACTCTGCTGGCCACACTCCTCTTGCTGCACCCCAGGATGCTGTTGGCCTTTGGGGCTGCATGACCACACTGCTGGCTCATGCTGAGCTTCTCATCAACCAGCACCCCAAGTCCCTCTCTTCAGGGCTGCTCTCACCCAGCTCTGCACCCAGTTTGTAGCTGTGCCTGGGACTGGCCCGAGCCAGGTGCTGGACTTTGCCCTTTGACTTGTTGAACCTCACGCAGTTTGCACTGGCCCATTTCTCCAGCCTGCCCAGGTCCCTCTGGATGGATCCCTGCCCTGCAGTGAGTCCAGCACACCACACAGCTCCGTGTCACCAGCACACTTGCTGAGGTGCACTCAGTGCTGCCGTCCCTGCCGCTGACAAAGATGTTAAGCAGAACCTGACCCAGAACAGACATAGGAGGAAATGATTTGTTTTTCTCACCAAAACAGGACAAATAAGATAGTTTCACTGCTTCTTTTTGCCTCTTAAAACAGAAGCCTCCAGAGCGGGATTTTAGATAGTGGGTTGATTTTCACCAAAATTTGGGTTTGATTGTTGTGGTTCTTCAGGTTGGCTGCTGAAGAACGGCGTGAGGTTTGCACAGGCAGATGGATGATGAGAATTATCCCCTTGAGCCGTTTGACAACTACTCCTACGAATACTCTTTAAATGAAACCAGCAACGTCTGCGAAATGGGTGACTATTTCCTATTTTACATCCATCTGGCTACCGTCCTCTACACGCTGGTGTTTCTGTTCAGCCTGCTAGGAAACTGTCTGGTGCTATGGATCCTGTTCAAGTACGAGAACCTTACCTCTCTAACCAACGTCTTCATCATAGATCTCTGTGTCTCCGATTTGGTCTTCTCCTGCATGCTGCCCTTCTGGGCGGTGGAGCAGTCCTTCGGGTGGGTTTTCGGGGAGTTCCTGTGCAGGGCGTCGAACGCCGTGTTCTCCGTGGGGTACTACAGCGGGGTGTTCTTCCTGAGCGCCCTGACCGCCCTGCGGTACGTGTCCGTGGTCAGCCCCCTCTCCACCCTGCCCTCCCAGACGCGGCGCTGCGGCTTGCTGCTGAGCCTGCTGATCTGGGCTGGCAGCGTCTTAATTGTGGTCCCTGAGGTGATTCACACCACAGTGCAAGAGAACCTGGAAGGGCACAAGATCTGTGATTTTGCCGAGTGGAAATGGAAGAAGGTGGACATTTACCAGAGAAATGTACTCTTCCTGCTCTCCTTCGGGGTTATCCTATTCTGTTATTTCAAGATCCTGATAATCCTGCTCAGAACAAGATCTCGCAGAAAGCACAGAACTGTGAAACTCATCCTGATTATCGTGTTGGCTTTTTTCCTGTGCTGGGCACCCTACAACATCCTCAGCTTCCTCTTTACTTTTCCATCACCCACCTGTCAGTACCTAAAAGACACCAGCCTCGCCTTTTACATCAGCCGGCAGATCGCCTTCTCCCACTGCTGCCTCAACCCTGTGCTCTACGTGCTGGTTGGAGTCAAGTTCAAGAGGCATTTGTTCCGTTTGTGCAGTCAGTGTTCTCCCCACGGCAGCACCCAAGTCTCCAGCCCCAGGATCTGCTCTCAAGACAAATTCCACTACCAAGATGTGTCCGTCTACTGAAGTGAGACCCAACTCCCAGCACGAACCCTGGGTGAACTTTGGCATTTTAAAAGCCATGGATGATTTCTAATTTTTTAGAGAAAGGCACACAAATTTACCATTTGCAAACATGCTGGCATGGAAAGTAATAAAAAAGTCTATTTGCAGTGGGTTGGAGAGCTGAGAATGATGAGAAATGGCTTAATTGGCCTGTAAGTCTTTTTTTTATGGGGTTTTGTACAGTGAGTTGGATTTTTCTGTCATTTATGGTTTCTTTTCAAAGGCAAAAAAAAAGCAACCTGTTTTTCCTTTGGGAGATAAAACCCCAGGTTTTAACATAAATGGTGTTGCATGTTGGCTTCTTACCTGACTTAAAATACTTGGCTAACAATATAAGAATATAATAATAATATCAAAATGATCCCATTCTGACCAGTTTTTACAAGTTACTTATACCTGCTTGTGTCTTGAGCATATTTTCTTACAGCACGTAGAGGAGATGTGCAATATTCCCCAGCTGCACTGCTGCCCACCATAACCAAAGTGGTTCTAATAAACATTCAGAAACTCAGCGGAATGTGACACTGTGACTGTTGTTCTCTGCCTTTGACAGCCACCTATTAGAGTTATGGTGTTTTCAGTTAAAGAAGGAATTGTGAATTTTCATAGGTTAATTTAGCTGGGAAAAGACTTCTGGAGGTTATCCACGCCTCCACCCTGCTCACAGCAGTTGCAGCTTCCCAGTAAGAGAAGGTTGCTCAGGGTGTTGTCTGGTCAAAATCTGAACATCTGCAAGAGCAGGGACTGCACAACTCCTCTGGGTCCCTCTTCCAATGCTTAACAACTCTCACGGGTGATTTATTTTTCCTTCTACATGAACAAAATGTCTTTTGCTGCACCGTGGTGATGCTGCCTCTTCCTTGCCTTCTCTGTGTTCTTGCACTACGATGGAAAAGAGCCATCAGGTCTCCCCTAAATCTTGTTCTTTCTGGGGGCTAAACAAACCCCAGCCAATCTAGTCTCTTCATATGCCATGTGCTCCAGCTCCCTGACCATCTTGGTGGTCCTGCATTGGACTCACTCCAGTCAGTCAATCTCTCTCTTGAACTGAGGGCCCCCAAACCAGACGTGACACTGCAGATGTGACCACATGAACATCAGATAGAGGGGAATAAAGGTTTTCCTCAACCTGATGGCAGTGCAAGCCCACACACATTGGAGGTATGTGCATTGTCAAGAGGAAATATGTTGGTGTAGCTTCCATCGTTGTTGATACACACATGTTATCAAATATCTACATTGCTAAAGCCAGAGGATAAGCCCAGCACAGCTCAGGGGGTGGGCAGCCCCTTCCTTCTGGGAGCTCCAGATGCCTGGAAAACACACACTGCTCTGGGTAAAACATAATGCTCCACGGACCTGGCATCTTTGATTTCACTCAGTCAATCAACTATTATGTGGTCTGAGCAAATGCAGAACTGAGAGAAAGAAATTTGTGAAGTGAAAAAGGAGAAATTAATTGCTTTTGGAAACCACAGCCTATTGGGGAGGGGAGCAGTGTCAGACTGAGTGGTCGCAGTACTACAGCTGCTCTGCAGAGAAGGACCTGGAAGCCCTGGTGGACAACAAGTTAACCATGAGCCAGCAATGGCCCCTCGTGGCCAAGAGGGCCAATGGTCTCCTTAACAAGAGCTTAATCTCCTGAACCTCAGTACACTCTTTACCCACCTGCCACCCATCTGCATGTACACAAAGGACTCCAGCTCATTTTTTAGTTCAAACTAGACAGAGTTTGTGTCCCAGCTCTCCCTTATCGTTGCTGGTTCAGCTGAACCAGCACAGAACCAGCTCAGATTCTTGAGACCTCCTTAGAGATGCAGGGAGTTCTGGGCAGCAGGAGCTCCCAGCCCTGACGTGCTCAGTCTCAGAAGCTGACCTGATATGAGCAGAATACTCTTCCAACCCCTTCCACCACCTTATCTAAATGCCAGACTTGCTTCTAGAGGTTTTCCAGAGCTTTGCTGGTTCTTTTTATGCTGCCTGCTTCCAGCTTTATACCTACTGACAATTATTTGTCCACCTATTCAAAACAGAACGCAAACAAATGCAAAAAAGTGCTTCCAAAGCTTTCTCCCCACAGCCACAGAAAGTCTCTGGTGATGAACAGCAGCCTGTTGTTCAGCCCAGCTACAATGGTATGTTAATCCACGGAGGGTGACCAGGGAAACTGGGAGTTTGCTACTCTCATAAAATGCCTCAAGTGCCTAGTGGAAGCAAAACTCTCCCCAGTTATTATATAACACAGATGAACTCTTTAAATAATTGAAAGAAGAGACATAGCTCATGTGCTGATAATGTCAGATGGATGGAATGACTGCATCCTATGGAGATGTACTCAGAGAGCACTGTGAATGCGGGTTGGACTAGATGACCCTTAAAGCTTCCTCCCAACCCAAACTGTTCTATGATTCTGTCTAATATTCACAGAATCTAAGAGCCACAGGAAAGATTTTTTTTTCTGTTTTTGTGTTGTGGTTTGTTTTTTTTTATTAAAAAAGATCCCACTTCTTTCAGAGGGTTTAGTAAAGACCTGTTTTAGTCACTAAAGCACCAACGTGATGTCAGCATGAGATGATTGATGGCAGTGGATAATTTTGTTTTATGACTGTCACAGGAGAAGAGTCAGAGATCACTCAGATGGATCTGAGCTAGTCATTAGTTTACTGAGTTCTAATCAGTAAATGTAAGCATGTAAAACATTCAGTAAGTACAGATGGCTTAGTGGTCAGTGTTATCTACTACACTAAAAGTTAGTGCCATATATGAAGATCAGAGCTTGCACCTATGATAGGTATCTCAAATGTTACATGCATGCAAAAGGTGTCAGGGTAACAGTCCATCAACTAGTGAAAAGATTTTTCCCAACAAAGCTTCCCTTTGCTGGCATGACTGCCATTGCCTTTCCTAGTAAAACTGACAGCAATTCCCACCCAGCTTATCCTGTTGCTGAAAGTACCTTGTCACTGCATAATTAAAAGGAGGAACAATCCATTCCACGTGATTATTTTTGAGTGAGAAGCAAAACTGCACAAAGAGTTTTTGAAAATATGTTTAAAAAAAAAAAATATTCACTATTTGCAACTGATGGGCTTGGCAGTGCTGGGTTAATGGCTGGGGTCGATGGTCTTAAAGGACTTTTCCAGTCTAAATGATTCTGTGATTCTGTGATGACCCTGAGGTTACTTTTGGAAGACACCCAGTTGTCTAGAGATCAATGGAGAGCAAACATTTGTTGTCAGCAGATGCTCCTGGCCCTGTAGAGCGTGACACAGCAACGTGTGCCCGGAGGAGTCAGCCTGCAGCTTGCTTCCAAAATACCTAAGGCAACCCAGTGCACGTCACGAGTCATGTGCCCACAGCATGCTTAGCCCTACAACCTGCACTTCTGAGGGTATGAAAATGCTCTTGAGCGACTCAAACCCATACATTAGGTGAAGAGTAATCACCAAAAACTTAAGGTCACTCAGTCATCCTTAATTTGAGGATAAAAACCGAGGATGATGGAGACGTGTCGGTGACTATGTTCTACATCTATTTCCTAAAGAGTCTTGAAAATATGACTCTGTGGCCTAATAGCCACCTACGCTGAGGTATGACGCTAACAGAGCCACAAGCATTGTGGCAAGCATTGATGACCATCCGTTTGGTCACAAGTTTTATTTAAAACCATTTATTCACCAAGGCAATGCGGAAAAAAAGGGTGAAGGAACATAGTTTTTAAACACCCTTCAAGTGCAAAACCAGTGTAGCCTATCTCAGACAGTGTGAAAGAAGTGTCTTTTCAGAGAATTATAGTGTTATGGAAGGGTTAAATTTGACAAGAGTGGGAGTAGCTTGCTGGTCAAAGGAGCCTGGTGCTGGGAGAGGGTGTGGGAGTGTTTTAACACTGGGCCCCCAGGGGTGTTCCAGTTTCACACCCGCTTTCTCCCAGTCTCTTACCATACGTGGCCTTTACTAATCCCTACCTGCGTCTCTCAGCTGTGGGTTAGAGGATTCTCCTTTCACCAGCTGACTAGCACAGAAAGGGGAAATCTGCTGCCTGCTGCCTTTATCCAGCCTGGCTTTCCTATTCCTGCAGCTCTCTGTGCAGGGGGCTGGATGAATGCATGTGCAAGCCAGAAAAAGAAAGAAAAACGGGGGGAAAAAACCCATACTCAACTGTGCTAAAGGCAACACTCGGTATGATATTAAAAATTTACACTCTTTGACAGTCGACCTTGCTTGAGGGTACCAAAAACACCTCCCTCCGAGAGGAAACCACCCCAGCCCTGCAGCTGTAGGGGAAAGCGGCGACTTTTCACCACGGGAAGACGTTTAAGCCCCCTGTGTTTTCACCAGTGAAGGCCAGCTAAACCCCCTGTTCTGGCGGCCGGGCCGGGCCGGGAGCACAGCGCAGGGCGGCTGTCTCAGCCACCGCCCCGGGGGTGGGGAGGCACCTCCAGCGGCCTCACG